TCAGTCTGGCAGGTACTGCCCCCCTGCCGAGGCAGACTCTACAGCTAGCTCGGGGCTGGGGATTGGCCACGCCTACTCTGCTCAAGCAGGGAGAGAGGAAAAGCCTTGGAGCTGGCAGGCTGGGAGATGAGCTCTAGCACCTCCCAGCTTCTGGCCTGACCCACTGAAGGCATATGCCTGCACTTCCTGAAGCAAAAATGAATGTCTGTTCGCTTTCTTGCTGGTTCAATCTCTGCATCTTAGACCAACCTGCAAAGACTGAACTGATTCAGACTTGGGCTTGTTGACTTTCTGTACTTAGCCATACAGTTGCTCATGAGATTGGGTTAACCCTTTCTTAAATTGGGTTAACTCAATTTAAGTTAGTGGAGCTACTCAGGTGAACTAATTTAGATCAGGGGTGCCATTTTGGGGAGACTTAAGCCCTCTGCATACCTCTATGATCGGGAAATTATATCAACTTAACCTTGGTTAGGGCCATCTAAATTTAATGCGTGTACATAGCCTCAGCGGAGTCCAAAATGATCCGTCCTTCTGAAGCAGCTCTCCCTGCTATCCAAAGCAAACGTCCATTTCAGCAAAATCCACCAAAGTTCAAGACAATAACAATATCAAGGCTTTTAACTCCTCTGGAAGGATGCTGAAATGATGTGGTTTGCTTGTGTATGCAAAGAGTAATTTTTTTCTACAGTGTTTTAGAAAGTGCTTTAACAAAAAGCCCTTATTTCTTGACTATCTGAATATTTTCTTCAAATACTATTTAACCAGATATAGTGCTCTCTTAACTAGCCCTTCTGCAATTCATTTGGCCTAAAAGCTGCTGTCAAATTTTCATATTTTCATTTTGACAGTAGAAAGACAGATAAACTATAAAAGTGTATGTATAATGAAGGGATTTCTACCACTCTTAAAGATTTGTTGTTCAAGTCCAGCACATTCTTAATAGTGGACAGATGGATCTTTAAATATTCCTTCTTTTTTCAACTCAACCTTTCAGATTTTTATCTAATGCCACTGTGTATATAAGAACTATGTTAAAAGAAAGCCAAGATTGCACAAATGAATCTGTCTGAAGTTAGAAAACTGAAAAATTAAGGATGTCTATGCAACTATAACCTTTCCATTTGCATGTGTTATGATACATACTCTTAGTACATGATTATATATTATTTTTGTAGATCCACTGTCTCATTCAGTTTTCTGATGAGATAATGCTCAGCGAATGGGGACTGCTTCATTCACTGATCACAACTCTTCACCCTGGGTCTCTTGCCTCAGTTACTATACCATACAGCCCATATAAATCCCCACCTAAACTACAAAGAATCCAACATATACAGCAAAGGCACTGCACTGTATAATCCTTCCTCATTCCATCTTCACTTATTTGATCAGATTAAGGCATGGCTATTTCCATATTTTTTGTGTTTGTTTCCACTTGGTGCATCTCCACTGCAGGGCATGCTTGAGTTATCTACATTCAAGTTAACTGTACTTGAGTTGGCCTGCTTCAGGTGAAAGTGGTGACATGAAAAAAAAACAACACTTGAACTGCAAAAAGTGTTTAGATTAGCAGCACAGACACATTGCCAGCAGCACTCAGCTTAACCCACACATCACAATGGGACTGCTAACTTCAGTCCGACTTACCTCTTTACTGCAGCTAGAAATTTTTGTGTATACAGTAGAACTGGGTTAAAGGCAACACGCAAGTTATACTTGGAGCTAATGCTGTAGTCTCTTCCATATCCCTTCCTCAAGCCACACATGCCATTCTTGAATCATATCCCATGAACTCATAAAAATTCAAATATTAAAAGAAAAATTCACACAACTTTCTTGCATATTCCTGTGAAAAAACAATCAGTGTTCAAAGAGGTCACGTGCTGCATACAGATTTTGTCTCCATGTCCATACGTGTGTGTGCAGTATCAAAGGCATATTAGTATATCATTAGCAAAACCCCTACTTCGTTAAAAAAGTGCTCATATGCAAAATATATTTTTAATTTTATAGATAATGAAAGCAAAGCAGATTTTCCTCCGTTTTCTGAAAGATCCATCAGCAATCTGATTGTCCCATCCAATTTCTAATTTTCTGCCACCTCATGCTGAAGTGTTATAACCATCTTAAAATGTGACAAAAAAAACCATAATGTCTAAGTGTACTTTT